CACTGAAATTCTCAAGATTTTTTTGAAGTTTATGAAACTTACCTTAAATTATCGATACTAATTTGAAACTTCTTTAATAGTCTAGACGTCTAGACTTTTCTGTCTAAACGATTATTAAATTTCCGTAAAGTTCTCTAGACTGTCCTGAATTTTTAGTATTTTTTAAGAATCCACAACTTTACTGAAATTAAATGATTTGCGTTGAAGATTCGACCATTTCACTCAAGTATTATAACCATTATAAATGCTCACTAATTTTCCCTGAACTTAATTAGATAACTATGGTTACCTGAAATTCCCTAAATTTGTTAAATAATCCGGCAAATTTTCTTATACATATTCATAATTCCCTGACGCTTCTGACGTTTTCGGATCAATCATAGAATTCATGGAATACCTCATCTTTCCACGGAACTTCTTGTGAGATAAATTTGCTTAAGTTAATGGGATTATTCTGAAGCTATTTGATCGTCCTTGAAGTACTCGGAACTTCGCTAAATATCGTGAAATTATCTAAAAGTATCTAAATCTATAAGAAGTTCTTTGGAATTTCTTGAAGATATCACTGCTTGCTAAAAGTTGTCGTTTTTTTTTTAATCAATGGAATTTCGTTGATTTTCTTTAATAAATTTAGCTAAATTTTCGTAATTTTTTAAGTTTTTGAAATCTCTATGATATAACACGCTTAAAATACTCTCACGTTTTCACGTTTTATCACGTTCCAGAAATTTTTGCACAGCTATGCTGAAGATTCCGCTGAGTTTCTCGCAACTTCTTTAAGGTTATTACAATTACCTTGAAATTATTTCAACTGCCCTTTGATTCTCTAATCTGTCTTGATGTTCTCGAAGCGTCTCTAAAGCTCTCAATTCTATTGAAGATCTCGGTTCTGCAGCTAGGAAATATATGGAATTCCCGTAAATACCTTTAAATTTCCCTGAAATTCTATGGACGTCTGTGAAGTTTCTGAAATATTTCTGAAGTTTTCATAAATTCTCTGAAGAGTTCTGTACTTCCTTGAAATTATCGGATCATCTTAGGGGTTGTCAATTTCTTTTTCAGCACATCGTAGAACTATTCTGAATTTTTCTAAATTTACCGATTATAGATCTTTAAACTGCTCCAAAAGTCTGGACTAAAGCTACGGAAACTGCTCTTAAGATCTGAAATTGCCCAAAAATCTCTAGATCTAGCTTTTCTGAGGAACTTAGAACTTCTTAAACATTTGCACAATACCCCTCATGTTTTCTATATTTCTCAAGTTCAGGAACTTTTATGAAGTTCCTAGAACTCCACAGTTGTCAAGTTCTCTGAAAATCTAGGAACTTCATTAAAGTTCCCGAAAATTTTCAGATGCTAAAAGAACCGATTTGAGGTTATTAAAGCTTCCAATAAGTTCAGCTTGGACTTATTCAAATTCAGTATTTTTTTTTTCAACTTTATGAAGTGAGAAATTAAGTAAGTGTTAAACTGCAACATTCAATGGATTTGATTGTAAAGCTGTTTCTTTACAACTGATTGCTATGTCTTAAAAACGTTTGGGTAAATTGCTGTTGTTTTCGATCTAAAAAAAAGCATATTTTTAACGCATTTTAAAAATAGCTTTCTTATAATAAACCTGGAATTTATCCGTTGAAGTACTGTAAAACCTGGAAAACTCAGGCAATTAGAACAATGAGTAGACACCCTGTATATAGAGAAAGATGATTAAACGCCACAAAGCAAATAATGATAAATCTTGAAATAAATTCACGCTAAAAAGTTGAAAATAGTGACTGTTTGCAAGAAAAAGTGACTTTAGTGACTTGGCCTTAAAAAAAGAGACTTCTTAGTGACTGGCTTGAAAAAAGTGACCAAGTCACTAAAAAGTGACTCGCTACCAGCCCTGCAAAATTGAATTCCTTAGCAACAAAATTATTTGACACCGATAATGACCATGCATCAGAACCCTAGTCTCAACCACTTCAAACTATGGAACAACGAATAGAAGATTAGGAATCAAGTAGATGAAGACTGACTCACTTACCACTATTAACGAGGCATAAAAAGTAACAAGGACTATGACGTGTTTCTTTGATTACTGACAAGTCCTGTTCCCCTAGCTAGAAATAGTCAATACTAGGAATCGGTGGTAGATCTTACATCCCGTAACATACCGCGAAAAGGTGATCTACCCACGTTACGGGGCACGCTCTCACTATGTTAGCCATCTAAGACTGAAGAGCTTCTGTAAACATGACTATGCATTATCATCATTATTGCATTGTTTTGATGGTTATAAAAGGAAGGATAATGTCACGGCAGTCATAGGTAATTCCGGAAGATTTCAGCACATTTACTGGCAGTTCCAGGGCAGGTTGGGATGTAAGTTTGGGAATTATAGACGCAATTGTTTAATAGATACAATCCCTCTCGGGCATTCTAACACATTCAGAAAAATTTATCAATGTCCATAACATATCTATGGAATAGAGGGAGCGAGTTCAGAACTAGGTTTTGTGAACATTTCTTCTTAGAGGTTTTCTGAGCGTCGAGAAATTTTGCAACCCGAAAAATTCCTAGACCGGACCGGGATTAGAACCCAGCCACCTGCAGCATGGGTTTGCTTTGTAGCTGCGCCTTTACCGATTGAGCTAAGGGAGGACGGATCTATATCTACCTTACTCAAGTTTGTTCGACTAGCGTTTCGATTTCCTTGAAATAAACCTCCTGAATTGAGGTTGGGGGCCTCCCATGGCTCAGTCGGTAAATGCGCAGCTACAAAGCAAGACAATGCTGGAGGTGGCTGGGTTCGATTCCCGTTCCGGTCTAGGATTTTTTTTTCGGCTTGCAAAATTTCTCGACTTTGCTGGAGTTAGAGTGCGATTGTAGTTGCCACACAATTATACTTAAGCAAAAATGGTACAGGCATCGAAAGCTGTCAATTAATAACTGTGGAAGTGCATCTAGAACACTAAGGTAAGAGCAAAAAATAAGCTAATATGCGATAAGCAATAAGCTTGAAATGCTAAGAATACGGAAAAAGTAGTATTGAGGATCGAAAATTTCGACTGTTTTCCCTAATTTTATAGAATTTTTAAGATTAAGATTTCGCGTGAGAATGGATCACATCATTCTAACAGTTTAAAATGATGTTTCCTATCACTTTAACTTTGTGTGTTGAAGTTTTTAATTCAACAGCCTCGAGAAAATATGGGGGGCGCCGGTGGTAAGCGTGACTGCTTTTCTCACCCCAATGGGTCTGGGTTCAATCCCAGCCGAGGTCGGTGGGATTTTTCTGACGCATAAAAATCTCTGGTCACGTCTTCCTTCGGTAGGGAAGTAAAGCCGTTGGTCCCGGCCCATGTGTGTTGAATGGGCGCGATATCCTACGCAGGTGTGGAAGCTGCCTTCCTGCACATTCGATTGTCGTCAATGGATGGCAATCGATGTCCGTCGGTGATTGGCACTAGATTGCGGAACAGAGACCAATGTTAAAAGTAAAGGAATGAAGCCTCGAGAAAATAGGATCTTGTTTACGGTAAGCTAGATAATCCGGAAGGTCGTCTCAAAACTACTCGATAGTATGATTATTTCTATAATCAAAACTAAGGAGTTCAGTATCAAAACGGACAACTTTAAGACATCATCATGGAAACCTCAGAATTACACCAATACGACTTTCTAGGACAGGAAAATTTAATCATATTTGGCTATCTTATGGACTTCTGAGTATAAGTCTATGATATACTTTTGCCATAACACGTTTCGTTTTATAGGTACCACTCTCACTATGAGATCAGCAAGCTTGCAGTACGGAAGTGCTGCACGTTCTGAAAGAGTATTAAAAATGTATCACCGAAATGAGTGGTTTAACATTGAGATAGCGCTTTTTTCCCCAATAATAATGCCACATTCTTAGGTAGGCAGTAAATGACCAACTTTGGAATAATATCCAAATTGATTAAGGTTCAATTTACTTTGATGCTTTTTGGAAAACTTCAAAAGCAGTTTTTCCGACGCATTATTTCAGATTGTAGAAAGCTCGCACTATTCGATTCCTTTTGATATTTTACACAAAACGACGCGAGCTTTTTGCAATCTAAAATAATGCGTCGAAAAAAACTGCTTTTGAATTTTTAAAAAATGCATCAAAGTAAATTGAACCTTAAGAAGATTGTACCTAAGAAACATGACGTGTTAAGGCATAAGTATATTCTAGACTTCAACTCAAGGAACCATAATGTAGCAACATATGATTGGATATTTCTGGCCTAGAAAAAAAAAAGTTTGTCGCCCAGTGTCATAAGTCTTAGGGCCAATCAAACTAAAATCTCATAAGCTACATCTACTACATTAGTGAGGTGCCGTAACGAAGGAAGTACCGTATAATTAGGACACACACCCATGCCGAATTTATTATCCATCGATCCAAATGAACAATGATTTGTGGTGAGAATACTTCCCATCCCATAAATTATACCCAGCACAATCAAAACATACAGATGAATCATACCTCTCGACGATGTTCCCATCTTTGCGGCAAGAACCCATTTCGGTGACGAGAATCATCCATTTCCTAAACTCATTACTTATTCACAAACACTCTCCACAGAAGCTCTTCTCTCCTTGCAACTGGGTCACATCATGACAAACACATTAGCCACTTTTGCGACTGCCAACGGCTGTAGCGACCGGTGATCTATTTGTTTCGAAGCAATATGCAGAGAAAGGGGCAGCAGCAGCAGCAACAGCCGAGCGGAAGGCAGCAAAGAACACACTCAATTAGACGTACGACGACGACGACGACGACGACGACGACGATGATGATGATGATGATGATGATGACGACGATGGTCGAACGCGAGCGCGCGAACGGGTACAAAGCGAAGAACACGCGGTGGGTGGCAGTGCTAAGAGGGTGGTGGTGGTGGTGGCTATTTGGCAGCAGCGACCCGGCACAGGATGAACAAGAATAACACGACTTCAAAACTCGAGAAATATAATTGAAATAAACACACCGTACACCGAGCGGTTAGGTCACGAAGGCAAGCAGGCTAGCCGGTGGGAGAGAAAGTACAGAATCTCTCGTCGGGTACACTCACTTTAGTCCGGCGATTCCGACGACGAACTGTGTGGCACACACCTTCTTGTTATGTTCAGTGCTAAGTACTAACTATATTCTCTTAGCGGGAGACAACAAGGAGGCCTTGTTCCAGTGCAGTGCAGCAGCAGTAGCAATTTCTAACAACCCCAGAAAGCACTCAATGTCAATTTATCGGCTATTAACGTTGTTGAGGAGCAACTGAAACTCGCTCGCTTCTTCCCTCACTGCCAGGTTTCAAACCTCGAAATCACGAACGAAAAACGAACCGAAGGAAGAGTCGTTCTTGGCCTTTGCTGCTCGGAGTGATGTCAATTTACAACTGAAACCATTTGTCTCTGATTTTCGCTCTACTCCCGGCGGCGGTGACGGCGGTTGCTGAGCGGTGGCCTCCGAGTCAGAGCAGAGTGGAGAAACAAACACTCATCACAAACAGTAAAAGTTAATCGACTCCCGCAACAACACAAAACGGCGACACTAATGGAGCGTAGAATTACAAACACATGATTTTATTATTATTATGTGTGCGCTCTCGCTCTGCCCGATTGACTGCCAGCATTTTTCGAATAGCATCAGCTGAACAGAGTGATACACAATTCATACATGTGACTGCGAAGGGTTTTGAGGTGGAAGGGACGAGGTAAGGTTAATTTGTAAGGGTGAGTATCCATGGAGAAACGGGTTTCGGCAGCAACAGGAAGGGCGACGAGGAGGATATATTAGCAAAGCAAGCAAGCGCTTGTTTAAATGGTTTTGTATTATCCGTCCTGCTCTAGCGCACGTGGCAGATTATGAATGTTGTTACAGGATGATGCGCGGCGATATGCGAGGATGTTTTGGATCACATACAGTATGGTATCTTGAGCAGTTTGGTGCTGTTATTGCTCCGACGAGCAAGCATTTCCATCATCACTGTGTGGGTGTGTGGCATCGTGAATGAAAATTGTGTGGTGCATGGGCAATCAAGAGATCGTTACGTTTGTGGGCAAGACAGGGGCAGGAAGGAGGATCCAGAAGGATAATGAGTGGGAACAGAATAGAACGAAACGGATGCATGGAGCGAGAAAGGGATGGCAATTGAGTGAAGATGAATGATAGAGAAGAGAGAAAATTGGAAAAACGATTTAATTTGAATGTCTCTACTTAAGTGGTTGCTGGGGTTGTTCGTTGGTAGGAAAATGTATTATGAATGAACGTTTTTATAAGGAAAAAATAATAGTCGGATTGTAAGAAATATAAAAATATAAATGAAGCAAAAGTAAAATAACAGACCAAACAGAATAAACAGAAAATACAAACAAATATGGACACACTATCTAAAACAAAAAATTCCAATACAAACAAGGATGCAACAAAAAACCTAGCACATCAACACAATTCCGCCACGGAACCACCCAACGTTCGCACATAAATTTCCTTTATCTCCACTCGCCGACCCCGAAACATCGTTTTGGTACAAGCGCTTCTGGTGATCTCTGCTACATATTCTATTATATGCGATTACCACGACCGCGCGCGCCCAGCTAGTTAGTCCCTACTACTGTGTGCCGACGTCGGCGGCAGGCAGCAGCAGAGAAGAGTAGGCCCAGCGCGGTGCGGCGACCGTCATCATCGTCAGCAGGACGGAGTGCACGTCGCTCGCTAGTTAGTACACATTTCATACAGCATCAGTGGCAGGCAATAATACACAGCGAGAGAAAGAGAGTGTGCAGGCCCGGTCGGCGGATGAAGGTAGGCCAGACAGGATGGATGCTGTGCTGTGCTGGGGTTATGCCTTTTGATGATGATGCTTTAATTCACTTGTTTGCTGCGACTCTTGGTGCTCTCTCTCTCTTTCGCTCTCTCTCTTTCTCTCGTTCTCTCTACCGGAGGATTAGAGATTTTCGTTCTCGGTCGCACTCACCTCACCACCGTTCCATCACAGCTCGGGTTATTATATGCTCCTTCGGGGACCACTTTCGGCACATACACGCGCGCTCTCTTCTCGGCTTCTTGCTCATTTAAATGCAAGCGCTTTTGAACCGAAGGGAAATTATATGGTAGTTAGGGCAATACAAATAAATACTGTATCCATCATAAGTCAGGCGTTCAGAGCATGATGGGAAAAAATTGTTGAAGAAATCATTAATTAGTCTAAATGGGTGTTTATGCCCCCAGACCGGCATCTCGTGTGTACTGCTGCTCTGGGTGGGATCAAGATCACTGGAAGTGGAAGGGGGAATGGATCACGGAGGGAAGTAAACGAGCGGGCGGCGGGCGGACGTCGTTTAGAGACGATTCATAGCAACCAAACCGAGAGTAGTATGATTGCTAACGAGGGGAAGCGTGTTGTGTGAGTGTATCTCTTCATCATCATCACTGCCATGACTCTACTAGGGCGCAATCCCGCAATCGAAAATAGATTCATACAGCAAATGTGCGAGAAGGAGCGGCAATTAAATCAAACGATAAGTCCTAGAAGAATTATTTCTATGAGGTACACTGTAAAATTAAAGTAACACAATTATGCTTTCACTTCAGATTTTATTACAGCTTGTAGTTGGAACGGATGTAGTTCAGAACTTTAGTCACCTGGGCTGGAACCTGGGGACCCTGTGGGTGATATCCGAGGGCATCAGCAACATAGGTGATCTCGACATTCTCTCCTTCCGGGCTCTTGTATCTGTATAATCCGTTGACATTGTTAGCATCTCCTTCTGCGCGGACTAAAGTTCCATCATCGAGTTCATAGTTGTGCTTGAAGGTGCCATCGGGACTGATGTCCAGTTCCTGGTTCTTAACCATCACATCCGGTCGAGCCGATGCAACGGCAACGAGAAGGGCTAAGGTGATCTGTGGACATAAGAATAATTGAAGCGCTTCCAAAATCCACTCAAGTATCAGTGTAACTTACCAGGAACTTCATTTTGAAATTGGTTGGGTACGTGTTGGGATCTACCGGGACAAGTCTGGACGAATCAGCACCGAAGTCAAACTGAACTGATCGAGACAAGTTGGCTGCATCTTTATATAGCCCACGACCCAAAGCCTCGTCCAGGGCTTCTTCTGCGCGTTGTTCTTGTTGGATGCACAAGCACCAAGAACACCTGTGTTTCCGAATTTCGAATAGACCGCTGTTATGATATAAAAAGTTCTTACCGGGATCGTTATTCCCCACCGTTGTTGGTTTGCATTGGTTCCGATGCTGGGGTGATGGACCGGTATTGAAATTAGAAAAAGTTCACCACAATTTGCATAAATTTCCGATGACAATATTTTATTGGCTTGACTTGTGTTTCCCAAAGCAAGTCGAGCTGCAATCACCTACGGCCGGTGGTTCGTGTGATGTCTTGGGTATCATGAACGACGGAATTAGGATAATGAAAGGAAAAGTAGAATCCTTAGCAGGGTGTTGAGAGGCTTTTTGAAAGTAATATTGGAAAAATGTTCTCTATTTAAATCCTAATTATTTTAGCTTAGACTGACTGCACATATCAATGATATGTACTCGTTGATTGATCATAATAAGTGAAATTACACAATTAATCAAATGAATGGGCCTTCTCAATGCACAAGTTTTTCGTGGCTATATAGTTTAAAAAACAGACAAACAGACATAACACTCGCAAGTTGTTCATCGAACAAGCATTGAAAGGCAAATTTAAAAGTATCGTAGTTGGTAGTACCACCACCTGTGGCGCGCATAGTCAATTCCCTTGTATTTGACGTTTAAACACTACCACCATCTCTTCAGCGTACTACCCACCACAGTAATGATGGCGGTAATGTTTTAGCGACGATGTTTTACAAGAGAAATATTCAATGTGTTATGTCTGTTTGTCTGTGGTTTAAAGATCAATAACGGTGCAGGCCACGTCCTTGCAATCAGGTGGGAGTATGAGAATTAATTTTACAGTGACCTTTGTTCAGGGTGGTCAGTGAATTTTTATTTTAGAATTCCCGGTTTTTATCCGGCTAAAATTTCGAAAATTTCTCGGTTTGTAATATTCAGCAAAAACGAAAATGTTAGATGATTACTTTTTTTAACGTAATCAAATACAAATTATCGGAGGTATTTGTGGGAAAATTATCTCTAGTAGCAAAACTATAGGAAGGATTTGTTTCAACAGAAAGTGTAACACAACTGGGCTACAAAATGGTAAGTGACAATCTGGAAGGAGCGGTATACCTAGCTCCGGTCCTCACAAGTTCCTACCTCACGCCTCCACGAGTCATATGATCACAAAAGACTGCCAGCTGAAACATGGACACAGCTGGTTGGCGTAGCCTGAGCAATGTTGTCAATCCGACAATAGCAGAGTGAGGAGGTGCGACGTGAACACTGGCACGGTAACCATAGCACGGTGATAGAGGAAATGCTTTGCCAACCCGAGCGTCTGTTCACCATGGAGGTGCGGCTCAAACAGCGTCTGACTGGCATCCAGCGGCTGAATAAGAAATGCTCTTCCCCGGAAGCTACACCTAAGATGGCAGCCCCATCACGGCGGATAGGAGACCTTAGGCCAACCACCTACTGTCTCTGAAACCTTCACAATTGTTACAGAAACCAACAGAGAAAGACATCGAACTGATATAACGGCAACGAATTTTAGCGCAAAACAACGGACACGAATTGGATCATGGAATGTATTGACGTTAGCCCAGCAGGGTAAACTGGCACAACTTGCCAACGAGGCGCGACGCATGAAGCTAGAAATCCTGGGACTGAGTGAAGTTCGTTGGCCAAACTTTGGAGAACACAAACTGCCGTCGGGACAGATACTACTATACTCTGGTATTCGAGGTGAAAACGCTCCCCGCCATCGTGGAGTTGGTCTCCTACTTAGCGTCCAGGCAAGTGCTGCGCTCATCAAGTGGGAGCCTGTTAATGAGAGGATAATCGTTGCCAGATTTAGAACACGGGTTCGTAACCTTACCATAATCCAATGTTATGCGCCAACCGATGCTGCCGAGCTACAGGACAAGGAGAATTTTTACAGTCAACTGAATGCCGTCGTGGATAAGGTTCCAAAGGGTGACATCAAGATCTACACTGGCGACTTCAATGCGAAGATCGGCTACGACAACACGGACTATGGGCGTGTCATGGGACGCCATGGTCTCGGCGAAATGAGCGAGAACGGTGAGCTGTTTGCAGAATTTTGTGGCAATAACGACATGGTGATCGGGGGCTCGCTCTTCCCCCATCGGCCAATGCACAAAGTCACGTGGGTTTCCCGTGATGGACATACCGAAAATCAGATCGACCACATCTGCATCAGCCGAAAATGGAGACGGAGCCTTCTTGATGTCCGGAATAAACGCAGCGCCGACATCGCGTCTGACCATCACCTTCTTATCGGTGAAATCCGCCTACGCATGGCGCGGATCCAGCGACGGAAGGAGAGACTCGGGTGGCGGTTCAACACACGCCGACTTGAAGATCCAGCGGTAAAAAGGTCTTTTGTTGAAGAACTTGAGACTCGAGCTGCGGACGTTCCAGAAGGTGGCAGCGTATAAGAACAATGGACGGCCATCAAGAATGCCTTTATAGAAACAAGCGAGAATAACTTGGGTGAGCTGCGCACCCAGAGGAAAGAGTGGATCACAGATGAAACCTGGCGGAAGATTGAGGAGCGTAGAGAAGCAAAAGCCGCGATAGAGCGGGCGAGAACCAGAGGAGCCAAGAACGAAGCCCGTCAACGGTACTCCCTGGCCGACGAAGGGGAGAAAGCCGCAAACACTGGCGATATACGCCTCCTCTACGATATCTCACGACGCCTGAGTGGAGCAAGGATGAACCCGAGGATGCCAGTGTAGGACACGACTGGACAATTGCTTACCGACCCCACTGACCAGCTGAAACGCTGGTTTGAGCACTTCGAACAACTTCTTCAAGTTTCGACGGCCAACCAGCCATCAACATCTCGGCATGATCCGCCTAGAGTGCGGCGCATCACTCGCGTCAATTCCGAGGCCCCATCACTGCAGGAGATTGAAGCAGCTATCCGAAGCATGAAATCCAACAAGGCTCCAGGGGTCGATCGCATATCAGCAGAGATGCTCAAAGCTGACCCCATGCTATCCGCACAAATGTTGCATCAACTATTCTGTAATATCTGGGACTTCACGACTTTTCCGGCCGACTGGATGCAGGGCATCTTAGTGAAGGTCCCAAAGAAGGGGGATCTGACTGTGTGCGACAATTGGCGAGGCATCATGCTCCTGTGTATTGTTCTCAAATTTCTCTGCAAATCCTGAATCGGATACAGGAGAAGATCGACGCGACTCTCCGACGGCAGCAGGCAGGATTCCGTGCCGGAAGATCTTGTGTGGATCATATTGTCACGCTCCGCATCATCCTGGAGCAAGTCAATGAATTCCAAGAGTCCCTTTATTTGGTATTCATTGACTACGAAAAAGCTTTCGACCGTCTCAATCACGAGAATCTGTGGGGCGCCCTGAGACGCAAGGAGTCCCGGATAAAATCGTCAACCTAATCAAAGCGCAGTATGAGGCTTTCACGTGCAGAGTTCTGCATCACCGCTACTGTTTCGCATCGTAATCGACGAGATCATGGTAGTTGCAATTCACCGTGTACCGAACCGTGGGCTGCTTTGGCAGCCTATCACCATGGAGCATCTCAACGACTTCGATTTGGCTGATGATGTTGCTCTACTAGCACAACGGCGCTCTGATATGCAGAGTAAGCTCAATGACCTAGCCGAATGCTCCTCTGCGGCGGGTCTCACAATCAACGTCAACAAGAGCAAATCGTTAGATATCAACACGAGCAACCCTTCCAACTTTACAGTAGTGGGGCAAGCAGTGGAGAAGGTCGAAAGTTTCCAATATCTTGGCAGCCAAATAGCGTCGGACGGCGGGACCAAGAGCGACGTAGGTGCACGAATCAAGAAGGCTAGGGCTGCCTTTGCGAGTTTACGAAACGTATGGAGATCCAACCAGATAAGTCAACGCACCAAAATCCGAATTTTCAACTCGAACGTGAAATCTGTGTTGTTATACGCCAGCGAGACGTGATGTGTATCAACGGAGAACATTCAGAAGCTGCAGGTCTTCATCAACCGATGCCTGCGGTATATAATTCGTGCCTGGTGGCCTCACAACTGGATCTCGAATGCCGAGCTCCATCGTCGATGTCATGAGAAGCCGATAGCAACAGAAATTCGAGAGGGAAAGTGGAGGTGGGTCGGCCTCACACTTCGACGGGGCGGAAACGTAATCTGCAAGCAAGCGCTGGATTGGAATCCGGCAGGACATCGCAGCAGAGGCAGACCCAGGGGCTCATGGCGGCGGAGCCTCAATAAGGAAATTAAACAAGTCGTTAGGAATCTGACCTGGGCCCAGATCAAGGCAAAAGCGAGCAGCCGCCGTGGATGGAAGTCTTTCACGTTGGCCCTTTGCACCGCTGGTGGTGCACAGGACCCTTAAGTAAGTAAGTAAGTAATACAACTATTTGGGACGCTTGGTATATTTAAAACCGAATAAATCTGTAGGATAATGTTTTGATTCATTAAAAACGGATCATCCCACAGGCATGGGTAAACTAATAATGATTGTGAATCAGTGTGTTCATTTTAGTCAACTGGAAGTGATCCTTGGATCCTCCTTGGAGGGATTGAATAAGAGATACAAAAAGTAAATGTTATTTTCGAACTACAGTCAACTATTCCTTGCTCGATATGCAATGGACCATTGACTTAGGGAGGTATCGAGCTACAGAACATAATTTTTTTTTATCAATTTATTTGATAATGCTCAACCGACGAGCATTTCAGAATTCTTCTAAAATAAATTTGATTCTCTGTCTTCGGATTTAACGAATTCACTCGAGTTTCATTTTTTTTAAATTTGGCTGAATTTCTCTGTAGAGTTCCTAATGCAATTCACCTCAGATTCTCAACCAAAAATTGAAAAGGGCCTATTAGCTTTTATGAGCAAAACTTGTATTCTCTATTCCTTGCCAACACCATCGGCTAGGGG